TGGCTGCAAGTGCCTCAACAGCATTTCAATCTGGGATCCACAAAATCACAAGGGAGGGCAACTGTGGGTTACTCAACGGATGCAGCTGGAGATTGGCTGCCAAAGTTGCCTCAATAGGTGTTGCCAGGAGCGATTCGTTGAGGCTTTGAAGAGGAAAAGTGTGGACAAGCCATTTTGTCGTGTGCGGCAATGATCCTCGAATAAATTATACCACTGGTAATTACAAAGCCAACCCAAACTCAAATCAAAGCAAGGCAAACCCTAATCCGACATGTCCGAAGCAAAAACAATGGCCAATAATTAGGTCCCGGTGTTAATTGCCGCTCCTTGTGCTTCGACAGCTGTCGCCAGAGGCTGTGGAGTAGAGTACAGTTGAAGACTTGGATTAGGCATTTGGCATGCCCTGCTTTTCTGAACTTTTCTACATGTTATCTTTCAAAAGGCCTCGCAACAGCCAACAATTTCAGAAAGCGATTATTCTTTGTGTCCAGACAACCCTTCCCTAGAGCCCAGAGGAAGCTCCATTTTTGTCAAAATCTGTCGGTACATGATAGTTGATGAAATCGCCGCCTCAACGGCTGTGGTAGGAGGCTGTGACGTTTAGTGTCCACCTCGATGCTCACTAGCAGAGGTCACCATGTATTGCATAGGGTCAACCGGTCCTTGGAGAGAGAGAATCTGGTTCTAGCATTTCATCGAGCAATTGGATTGCACTTTTACTACTAAGAGTTCTCTTAAAAAACCGCAAATGCTCTGGACCATAAAAGCCAGGCAGTTGTAATATCATTTTTGCAGCTGGCCGGAGACTGCAGGATGTCTCGACAGTGTCATCGGAGGCGACAGTGACCTCGACGTCAGTGGCTGGAGGCTGTGATGTGCAGCCGAAGCTTCGACACTTGCTATTGGAGGATTTCAAACACCTCGAGGATAATAAAACTTTTACTCGGCAGTTCATTGAATATCCGAGAGGCAAAGTCAATCTGGAGTTTCTCTAGGAGTGATAAATTGGATCCCGGTGATAATATTCCCCGTCGCAACTAGAAGGCGGTCGTCGGGGTAGTGGCTTTCGGTGGTAGCCTCGACAGTCATTGTTGAGAACTTTGATAGTCTCGACAATCGGTATCCAATTGATTTAGGCTCCATTACAACTTGGTTCGAGTGACCAAAAATCAAAATGACACCGTGGTGCTCTTGGTTTCACATTTCCCCTGATTTTCCTTTTGCCTTTTCTTCTTTATAAATTCCTTCCTGGACTGGATCTCGGTGGCTCTCCGTCCAATGTTTTCCTCCGGTCACCTCTAATTTCTTTCCGGTGGTTCCTTTTTCTCTTATGTGTTGAATAGTTCAGATTTGCTTCTGGTTTTCCCCATCTTTTGTACTGGATCCCCCAACTTTCATCTTTTTTTATTTCAGCCGCTACGCACTTTTTTAGATATACTTTTTCGAGCCCTAAACATGTTCTTCCAGTTACTTTTTTTTTTTTGCTTTGTTTCTTCCATTTCTTGTGCCGGA